TGTGATGCCGAGGAGCTTCTTACGGTCATAGACTCCGGCCTTCTTATAGATCTCAGCAGTGAGAGGAACGAGTGAAGTCTCGGGATTCGACATGATACACATCATAGCATTCGGGGCATATTTAGCACAAGTTGTTGCGATGTCACGCATTATACCGGCATCAACACCAAAGAGATCCTCACGAGACATACCGGGTTTTTGAGCAATACCAGCACATACAATGATGACGTTGCTTCCAGTGACAGCCTCAGGGAGATGCTCAGCATCGACATATCCTCTCACCTTAGCCGGAGTGTTGATATGAGAATTATCAGCAGCAATACCAGGAACGGGTATACGAGCCTGATGGACATCATAAAGAGCCAACTCCGTGATCAGAGGGTTCAACTTCAACAACAATGAAAGAGGCATACCAATGGCACCGGAAGCACCGATTAAAGTCACTTTCATAGTATTCTTACAAGTAGTAGTAGTAGATGACATTATAATAAAGAGTTTGGAAAATTGTAAAACCTACAAACAACCAAATACTGTACAATAATACGAATACCAATGTAAACAGCTGATATATTTCCCACAGCTCTACGCAGCTTAAAAACGAATCTTCCCACGCAAATATCCTCCACTCCGGTGTCACAATCGGTACTAGAGTGTTCTATCAGTAGACAATGGAACTCACAAGGGGTCTTTCATATCTTTTCTGCCACACAAAGCCACAAAATGCCATTATAGTCTTTACTCGCTTGTTGTAAAGTAGTCAATGATTTGGTTATAAATTTCTTTTCTGAGTTGAATATTTTTCTGACTTTTAGTATGCGTTCCTTCATTGTTTCTTTTTTGATTTTTGTCCTGGTCGTCTCCTCTGTGATGGCCACTGAGGACCCGTGCACTGAGATGTGTTCTGATGTGAGTGGATGTGCGGACTCGAAATACGGCTCTTACTGCAAGTACTGGGAAGCTCCCTCCGTCTGTTTCGGTTTGATTGAGAGGAATGATGGATCGATTGGCTTCGAGCCCACTGATCCTAACTGTGTTGGTGAGACTTTGGCTTGCGGCGGTGTCCAAGCAACGAATAAACCGACTACTACAACTAACCGCGCTACTACTGCGCATGGATAACAATGTGAATTGATCAACAAGTGGTTCCTAATCCATTATCGTATCTTCAAGAACAGTAGTTTGCACACAACTCGATCCCAGTCCATTCCTATAGGTTACACAATACCGCACCATCCAGAACACGTTGAATTCTACGACAGGTGGTGTCGTGAATCGTTACCAGTACTGAACTCTCCTTCACGAAGTATACACGATGTTAGTATAACACATGATCAATTTCAGACTTGTGGGCGCATGATTGGGCAACTCCAAACCAATGCCTTCAAACTCATGCTCCATCATGTCGTAGCTAAGTCCATCGATGAGCCCCTCTGGTTGAGAAAAATATACATCTTTGGAAGCTCACCTTGTGAGCTTCACTAGCGTCAACGAGAAGACTTTCTACTTCAGCAGATCTAAAGTAACCCTCGTAGACTCTCACGAGGACCCAAGAAAAATCTACGGCAGATCATGACCATGCCATTCGATGGTGATACCCGCCAGACTGTATATGAGAAAGGATGAATCAGGTTGAGTTCTTGTTACTGTCATTTCTTATTCACCGGTGCTGATAACGTAGTCTTTGGATTCATCTTATTGTAGCATAAGCCACATAGCTTTAAGATAGTCCCTAGTATCGCCCTAATCCCTAGATTGCCTAATACCTCAAATGTGGTCAGATAACTTACCAGTGATTGCTACTGTCAATTTAAGCGCACTTCCCCTCAACTAGAGTGTAACTCAAGATTAGGTAGTGCATTAGGAAAAGTTCTGATTACGAACTGTTTATGTCTTACTAGGGAATAATAGATAGAATAGTAATACTAGTAGTCTTAAAGGTCATAATATTGGTCGATTGGTCGATAATACCAATTACTTCAGTCCACAAGATCACTGGTGATTCAGCTGTGTGGGTTGTATCTCGAGTGAGCTAGGGAGAGACTTGCACACTCAAACAACATGCGTTAGATACTTGACGTGTCGGAGCATGGTGCACCCAAAACCCCAGAGAACAGGGCAAACAAAGCTGAAGCAAAAGGGAAGAGGGAAACCCCTTCTGAGGAGAGGTAGCACGCTGATGTGGCGTATGTAGAGTATAAATCGCGTGGTGCTTGGACATCTGACGGGGCCCGAATATTCTTTTTATGCCATTCGAGATTTATGACACTTGCTATTTCACTTGCCATAAATTGCCCAAAAGCGATTTTTTCATACTCTGTTGCAAGTTGTCTCATTTGATGATCGAGCGGGTCGACTCTTTTGGGCAGGGGACTTGGGGAATGCAAGAGATGACAAGGGAATTCCTGCTGCTGGGACCGCGAGGGCATCAGTAGCTTTACTAGAGGCTTGAACGAATGAGGAAAATGGTACTATTCTGGGTTGATGGTGGGACTCCCTTCCTCGAGGTCCCTGGCGCCCATAAAGTCTAAATAGTGTCGTCCCTTGGTCAACTGTCATTGTACACTAACTCTTCCTCGTGCTGGTGGACCCCAGATTGTTGTGTCCTTCCCGTCAATAGTCGGTCGGTGTGTGCTGCAGTCGCGTCCTTGAATGGGTTTCCGTCACGTTTCAGCCAGCACGGAAATTCCGTGCTGGCTACCGAGCCTTCACGGCATGCTTGAGAGGGCAGTATCACGACCAACTCCACGCCTGCTCGTACTACGAGCCTCGTAGTGCTGTCGCTGTGATTGGATACATGTCGATGGGATACTGGACTTGGATATGCTGGACATGGACTACGGTAATGAGGGGAGATACCCGATAGGAAGGGAGCTTTTCATCGACAATTTTCGGATGCTTCCGAATGTGAAGGTGTGAGAACTCTCTAGTAGAGTGCTCGGTCAAAGAAACTGCTCAGCGCGATTTGAGTGGGTGGGCAAGACTTTTGCTGACATAAAGGACGACATTCAATAGAAAAATTGTGCTCTTTCCAATGGTGTCCACGGCGGTTGCTCACTCATCGTGGTTAACGAGGAATCCGTGGTTGAGAAGTTAGGGTTTTTCCATTGATGATTTATCAAAGAACGTGAGTACGTGCAGCAGTATGTCAAGCATGATACGGGACTTGAGCCTCTGAGGCTTCCACGAGGATTTTCGCACCAAGCAAGCGTTCGGCCGTCACCTCCCCCCACTCGAATGAGTAAGCCATCGTAACGCTCATCACCTTCGGTCAAACTCAAGTTCAGGTGACACCTCTAGTGGCGGTATCGTCATATGTCAGATGTCGTAAAGATGGTGCCTATAGTGATATTACGAATCGCATGGCTAAGAATGCAGAGGGCCTAACTCACGGTCAACGTGTCCGCAGTGCCTACATGAAGGAGGTCAGGGATGCGCGCCCTGAAGAATTCGCCGAACTCGCGGAGCACGATACGAAGGCAGTAAAGGAGCGTTTGCGTAGAATTGCCAACGTCTTTTCGGGTCACCCGAAACCTTCTACCTCTACCAATTTCGTCATAGAGGGCGAGAAGTACAAGGGTTACGAGTATCTTGGAAACTATCGTGAGACACTCGTTCACGATGAGGGACCTGCGGATCCTATACGTTTTATCATATATGCAGACTACAGTATCATTGATGAAATCTATTCTTCTGGAACTCGTTTTGTACATATTAGTATGAATGGTACATTTGAGTTCAGAGCAAAACACTTTTCACAACAATATACCATTTTATTCCGACATGAATCTGCTCGTTTCTGCCCTGCCATATACATTCTAATGGCTGATAAAAGCCAAGAGTCGTACTTGAAAGTTTTCCGAGTGTTGAGAGACTTTTTGAAGCTGAATATTGCTTCCGTGATACTTGATTTCGAATCCGCCGCCGTGAAGGCGTTCCAGCAAGTCTTTCCAACAACTGTAGTGAAACTTTGCTACTTCCACCTGGCTCAGAACTGGTGGAAGCAATTCAGGATAGTTCACAACGCTTCGAAAGAAGTGGTAAAGGTTTGCTACTACAAACTTCTGTGCATCGTTTTTCTTCCTGCTGAGCTTATCTGTTCTGCCATCCTTTACGCTCTCGCAGACTTACCCACCGGTGATCGGCAGCGTATCCTTCGGTATGTACTTAGAAATTATGTTGAAGGGCGTGTTGCGAAGCCACAGCTTTGGCTGATGAAGGAGAGAGTTCAAGCCGCCCTTCCACGGACTAACAACAACCAGGAGGGTTTCCACTACCGCTGGAATAGCAGCTTTGGCGAGCACAAGGAGAGACCGTCGTTTTATGTATGGGTGCTGAGTGTTCACTCGATGATGCTGGAGAATCATCTCGAATTGGTGAGATTGAATGCAGGTCATGCTCCTTCTCGACCACCGAAGTACGACTATGACGATATCATATTGTCGAGCCTATGCGCCCAAGATGTCACAGCTTTGAGCGTAAAGTCGTGGGTCGATAGCGCCGTCAATGTGGTGAGACGCATCACGCCCACGGCGGTCTTTGACGACGACGCGTTGGAATCAAATGGAGGCGACGTTCCCTGCGTTTCTCAGACAAACGGAGGGAATGATACTGTGGTAGATGTCAGCAGCTCAGAAGGAATCGCTGAAGCTACTGGTGAGGTCGGACCGACACCCAAAAAACGTCGCGGAGGATCTGAGCAGTCAACCCAGAATGCACCGACCCCATGGACCAGCCTAACTTCACGACAGGGTGGCCGCTTGTCGGTGACACTCGAAAACCGGCAAGAACTATTAACAACCGGGAGCATGATACCAGATGATATCGTTGATATCTGGATGGAGATGCTTTGCCAAGAAGCACAGATCCGGTCCCCGCAGAAGGTGGCAGTGGGAACAAGTTCTTTCGTCTTTCAACCTGTTCCTGCTTCGGTACTACATAGCGGTGAGCTGTACGTTCAACCTATCATCGACCCGGCTAGGCAGCACTTCGCGGCGACCGCAGTTGTTGATGGGCAGGTGTACTTCATGGATAGCATGAACGTCCATCTCCCTCACGATGGATTCTTCGTACAAGCTATGCGTCAACTCTACGGCTCACGTGAAGTCCTGAAAGTTGCAGTGCAACAACAAGAATACGGGAGCAATACCTGTGGACTCCACGCGGTAGCTAGATTGACCGAAGTGGTGCTGAATAGGCAGTGGTTCACTCTCACGGTGTTCGAAGAAAGCCCGATGCGTTACCATGCTGCGCAGTGCATCTCCAGCGGTCGGGTGTTACGTTCCCCGGAAGTATTCCCGGCCACTCCTAGCATGGCCTTTGGGCCAGAAGGGAGGATAGTAATTTAAGTGGTTTTTTATCTTGGAGTATTGTACATGTTTTTAAATATAAAAATAGTGGGGTTGAGTTGAGCCGAAGTGCTTTAAGGGGATGAGTATTAAATGTAAGATACAAAACGCGATACGGAGAAATGGAGTCCCGAGTCCGAAGTTAGTTCGTACAAAATAGTATTCTACCGAGATCGATCCCACAACCTCGCGTTCCTAACCTCACATACCTAACCGACACACCATTCTGCCGTGAGCAAGATGCTGTGCAGTCAACGGGCTCCACAATTATCGCACGAACAACCCCACGAGTGTGTACGAAAAGCTGCAGAACCCGTAAAACTAAGTAGTGCGGCTTCGGACGGATAACCACAGCCAGGCGAGTCAGGTGCAAGTACGATAAGGTAGTGATGAACACCCCCTCGTGTTACAAAGTCAGAAAGGTTCGGTGTCGAGTGGTATAGTTGTTAAGCGCTCGCCCATTTGGTACAGAAGTGGACAAATTCCCCAGTATAAAATTTGGTACAACACAATCGTCGGTGTTTGAGTTTGTCACGTGACAGAGAGGCCGAACCTGCACCAGCGAGAGCTATTCAGCAGTGATTCAAAGTTCTTCCAGGATGTTGGGTTACATCCCACCTTCGCCTCAGTTATTTGTCGTCCATTCTTTCCAACCTCCCGCCCACCCTAGCGATGTGGTGTGGCACCTCACGTTCCGTGTGAGGTTGGCCCAATCACATTGGCCGAGGATCACGTGTTTAGTGTCATCCTCCGGCCCACGACCCAATGCCGGGAAGGAAGGGAGACGGATAAACAATCGTAATCGGATATAATTTCATGCCGCGCGACCTTTCAGCGCCGCGATTGGTAATCTCCTGATGTACATATCGTCGAGCAGGTTGCAACATGAGTAATCCTATATAGCCACAACCTCAGATGAAATAGCCTACCTGCGAGGCATTAACCCGAAATTCATCAGTTCACATGCGTCCACAACAACTGACTTCATCATGATCATGCTTCTGGATAGAGCAAGACACGATTACGAAAGATCGCAGATTGAGGTGTCTAAGAGGCGGCGACAATTGATGATGATACAGTGCAGGAGGCCTTGGGGTTACCATGTTAGTAGAGGAAATATCCCAGGCATGGTACACTATGAGTATCCAATCGAATACTCTGTTGTTGAGTTATATGGGAATAGTTTGGATATATTAGAATACTCCTGAGGAACAACTCTTGTTGTGTCGATGATCGAATTCAGAGGCAGAAAGTGGTGGAACTCAGTGATAACAGCGATGGACAATCCCTTCACATCTGAGAGATATGGAATATTAGGAAATGAAATTGAGAAATCTGGGCTTTGGGGAGATTAAAGGGAGAAACTTCCACGCCGATGATGAACATGAACATTTAAATCAACTGCAATTTTGGAAATTCAAAATAACCTCTGTTTGTAAGACTCAAACTCAATACATATCATAGTTAAGAATAGAGCATCACTCTAATACTGAATCGGGTCTCTCATACATCAAATTATATGCAACGGAGTATCACTCCGCTTCTATCGATGAAAACAAGATGACTAGAGAGGCCCAGTAAGTCTGATAAGGCTAGACAAGTGTAGTGATTACAAAATAACAATTGTTATTGCTTTTTGTTGAATATAAGACAGGTTAATTCTGGTGGGCCTCAACGTAAGCCATACCTTTCTCCACATCTCCCTTCACCTTATTGACAGTTTCGACCATCCTCTTTTCTTCAAATGGACTTAAGTTGTCGATCGGCTGTACACCTTCGATACCCTCGGGACCAAATTTGGTAACCTGGGCGAAGAACTCACACCCTTGATAAGGCCAGTTGACGTAGGCGCAGGCAGACGGCGTGGCCTTCTTCTGTTGCTGGGAGTCTCCTCCTCCTTGTTGTTGTAAACCACGGATGACAGTATCGATGAACTCAGCAGCAGAGTATGCCATAGACAGAGAGGCCGAACCTGCACCAGCGAGGAGCATCGACGACTTCAGTGACAGC